TCTCTCTCTCTCTCTCTCTCTCTCTCTCTCTCTCTCTCTCTCGTCATTAATAATAATAAGTGTGTTGTTAATTAATGGTGGTTGTTATTTAATGTGCATGTTTAATAGGCGTGATCAATTTCGTGCCGTGCAGTGGCCCTGTGTTTGGCGAACAGGCGCTGACGTCCCCACACTTGGCTGCCGTCAACTTCACGGGAAGTGTCGGCACTTTTCGCAACATATGGCGAACGGTGGCCAACGCTCTCGACGCCAATCACGGCTTTCCCCGACTGTAAGTGTGACCAGCGTTGCCACGGGTCAGCTCATGGCTATTATAGATACTGTTACTGACCGGTGAACTGACCATAACCACAAGCGATAGATAGTTTACTATTATTAAAAATAACTTGCTAATTATTATTTGACCACGTTATGATAGGGTGGGCGAGTGCGGCGGCAAAGACTACCACTTTGTGCACGAGTCGGCCGATGTGGACACCGTTGTCGCGCAGACCATACGCGCCGCCTTTGAATACAGTGGCCAAAAGTGTAGCGCCTGTTCCCGACTCTATGTGCCCGACACCCTATGGCCTAAGGTATACCACACATACCCCCCCCCCACTCTCTCACCCCTACCCTAACTCCTGTATCACTAATACCATGTTTATTGTTTGCAACAGATAAAGGACGGCCTACTCTCGCTAAGGGCACAGTTAAAACTCGGCTCACCCCTGGAGTTTGACACATTTTTGACCGCGGTGATTGACGGGGCGTCGTATAAAAACATTAAGGGCTATATCGATGAGGCCAAGAGCTCGGCCACCCATACGGTGCTCGCGGGCGGCGTTTGTGACGATAGTGTGGGTCATTATATCGAGCCGACGATTGTAGAGACCAGTGATCCCAACAGTAGACTCATTAGGGAAGAGATTTTTGGTCCCGTTTTGACGGTTTACGTGTATAAGACGGGGAGCGCCGCAGCCGTCGACGAGGCGCTAGACCTGTGCGATAGGACCAGTGGTTTCGCACTCACCGGCGCTTTGTTTGCTAAAGACCAGTGAGTATTGTGTAGTTAGTTGTGGTGTCAAAATGGTTGTGCATTTTATCTGTAGTGCATTGTGCTTATAGTGAACAATATGTTTAATATAGGTTTTTAATTAAATGAATTAGTGCTAATTAATTGATTTGGCTTGATAGTAAATTACCCTGTAATTATTTGCTAAAATACCATTCATGTTAACTACCATGTATACTGTATGTTCACTATAAGCAGGTACATTTTGCATTATGCTTAATTAGTGCAGTTTGCTAGTTAATTGATAACAACATTAGTTGTTAACCATGATTAAACTAAATATAAAATAGCAATTTATACTAAATAACAATTAAATAATGGTGGTTATTCTCACGTAGGAAATTTATTGACCACGCGACGGAACGTCTGAAACAATCAGCCGGCAACTTCTACATCAACGACAAGTGCACGGGTGCAGTGGTGGGTCAGCAACCCTTCGGTGGGGGCCGACTGTCGGGCACCAACGACAAGGCCGGCGCCCCTCACTATTTGCTGCGCTGGTGTTCGCCGCAGAACGTGAAGGAGACGTACGTTCCGCAGAGGGACTGGCGGTACGACTACATGACCAAACAGTGATGGGTGGGAGGGTTCGAGTCCCGGTCAGGGGTCGAACTCACACACGCAGTGACGAACTCTAGTGAATAGTTGATACGAGTCTTCCATATGTTTATGGATATGAATATAATCTCAAAATTTTATGTTTTTTAATTGTGTTTTTTCAAAACTTTTAATTGTTATTAAGTTTTTTCTCTGAATTTATTTTGTTTTATTTAAATTTAACGCCAAAAACATGTGTTTTTGTAATTATTTTATCAGAAAATTATTTTTAGTATTCATTTTAATTACATTTAAATCTATAAATTGTATTTTATTAATGAATCGTGAAATACAGTCGCCTATGTATTGCATGCGTTCACTATAGCGATACGTACACTGTATCGCATGAAATGTAGACCAAAATATAACTGTTTAGTCAACTATACATTTAGTCAATATATTATTTTAATTACGAATTATAATTATATAATAAAACATACTTTTAACTAAATATTTAAGCAACAATTTTTTAAGTAGATTAAAATACAAATAGTGTACAAATAACTACATACGTACAAAAACAACTACGAAATTAAACATTACCTGTATTAATATCAATAATATAAAAACTATTTTTACCAATCAATAAATTCAAAATCTAATCTACTTTACTGTGTATACTAATGGTAAACATAGTTACTTAGCGGCACCGGTAGGCCATAGGCATAGCATTAGGTTTGTTTTTAAGGTATTGTTTTACTTTTCTTAATACACGTAAAAACTTAAGCAAAACTAAATCAATAGACAATTACTTTGAATAGTGTATCGATTTTCTCATCACAAATACATTATAAGAATGCATAAAAATATTATGTAAATAATACCATTAAAACTATATTAATCATTATAATAATGACACTTTTAAGTCGTATAAAAGTACCACGTAAAAAGTACACAAGTATAGTAATTGAAAAAATACATTTTTAATAATAAAATCTACATAGATTAAATTAATACACTTTAAATTTTTAATTATAATATAAATGCTATTAACAAATAGCTATACAATTATATAATAATTACTATATATTTATTAATACAATACGTTATAATAGTATTTATTAATTACAAAAAAAATATAGTTAACACAAAATCAATAACTCGACTAAAAAAACTCATTAAACAAATGCTATAATAATTACCAAAACATTTGTCATAATAATAATAGTTAATAATTATTAACCAGTAATAAGATTCACAACATATACCACATTATAATAGCTGTGAATATATGCATAAGTGGTTGAGTGAAAGAGGGGGGAGGAGGGGTGGTCTGCGGCGGAAGTATAGGGTGACCAGCGATGTCTACAACTGTGCCTTAACATCCTTTTCGATGTCCTTGGGCTCCACTTGTGGTCCGTAGCGTTTGATAGGGTGGCCATCCTTGTCCACCAGGAACTTGGTGAAATTCCACTTGATCGCGTCGAACCCCAGTATACCACCCTTCTGGTCCTTCAACCACTTGTACAGGGGGTGCGCTTTATCACCTGCAAACACAGGGTAAATTTTAACAACATAACACATTTATTAACAAAATAATAGCAATAGGGTTGTCGTGGTAATATTTAAGACCCGCTCTAAACCTAACTAGTACATTAGTACATGTATAGTCACCAGCCCTACTCTAATTCACCGGACACACCCCTACACACCCGTAGTATAGGGTGGCCAACACTAAAAATACTGACCGTTGACATCGATCTTGGACATCATGTCGAATTTGACATTGTTCTTTTTGGCGAACTCCTTGATGTCGATGTCGCAGCCGGGCTCCTGACCGTTGAACTGATTACTAGGGAAGGCCAGTATCCGCAGGCCCTGCGCCTCGTGGTTGGCGTACATTTCGTTCAACTGTTTGTAGTTGTTTTTGGTGAGACCGCAATTGCTGGCCACGTTCACCACGAGCAACGGGTGGCCCTTGTATTTGTCAAGAGTCACCTAGGTGAATAAAATGAGATACATGGTTAATTTTAACTATGATTAACAATAAGTTTTGCTGAGTAAGAGGGATGTGGAGGGAAGGGGGAGGGGGTGTAGCGATTAAATCACTAACTAACTAGTTAATTAACTAGTATACCAATCATAGTTCACAGATAGTTAACAATTATTTAATTAATTAATCTAGCTAATGTGTAATAACAGCAGGTTTATTATACAAGGGGGAGGAGGGGGTGGTAATAAAGTTATGCAATACATAACAATACACTTAAACATCACATTTGAGGACCTGTTAGAAGGGGGTGGGGGTTAGGGAGGGTCTGAGGGTTAAGGGAAAGTCATAACTCAATGCATACCTCATTGCCGTCGATGTCTTTGGCGGAGAAGTCGTACACACTTTTCGCTGTCTTCGGATCATTGGTAGCCATAGTTCTCGCAAACAATGTTAACCCTATGGGCACTGGTTTTACCGTGAGTTTACTGGCGTTGACAATAGGTCTGGTCGTAAGCGATAGTAAACTTGCGATAACTGTTGCGACGGGTTTTAGCGGTGAGACTGGTCTCGAGATGTTTAACAATACTATGCGCTGTGCCGTAGAGTGTATGCACTTTATATACATAGGTGTATATAATGCAGGAAATTATTAATTATGGTTAAAGTGAGAGAGAAATAGTGAACAAACAACTATCGAAATCAATACATACAACGCTGTTGTCAGTGATTCATGCGTTGTTAAAGTCTGGTGACTAATAGTGCACTTTTTGTAAATGAGCTATGTGCATTATTTTTATTATGTTTTTAATGACTAGTAGTTTTAGTCTTTTTGTCAGTTGCTTTATATGTAGTCCAATGTATAGCTATTGTATATGCAATGGGACTGAATGTCATGTGTGTATCAGTTATAGTGTTATGTCTATGGAGGCGATTGTTAGCCGCCTTTTGCACTGACTTTGCACTAGCGTAATTATAAATTACCTTTTTTTTAAAGATTACCTTCAGGTAAATTTACCAGGTAATAATTACCGGTAAATTTACCCACAAAAAGCTCACTCATTAGATGGCGTGAGTGCAACGTGTAGTCAATGGGTATCAAGTATTGCATTTCGTAATTGATGTGCAATACTTGAAACATATGTCTCGCAATTCATACAACCCTTTGTCTCGCGTTTCACACATTAACCCACAGATCAGTCATTGAGTGATTGATTTCATTACAAACTCGTATCAAATCAAACCATTGTTTGCGTGAAGATTACGATTTGGCCACTCTTTG